ATACACATCAGTTTCAATGTACCCAATGTATGGGATTTCTAGTCCATTCGCTGCCTTGAGTCGGAGCCAATGATGATCGGACTGAATCTCGAAACTGGTCCTCAAGTATTTGTTGAAGAATGATTCGGAAATAGTTGTAACCATCGACCCTGTATCGAGGATACATGGAACTACAATGTCATTAATTTTTATGTTTATTGTAGGGCTATCCCCGACCATTTTCTTTACTTGTGGTGAGCCTTTGTTTTCATTGCCTACAAGTCGGCTCTCAGCCGTAGGCCTGGTCCGTTTAAATCACTAGTGTGATGATTCTGAGTTTTCCCTTGTGCCTCTGCATCTCTTTTGCGCTTTCGACAGTCCTTCTTTAGATGGCCCAATTTTCCGCAGTAGAAACACCGCATTCCGTCACTATTCTGGCTTTTCTTTTGCATTTTCAGGGATTCCATTTTTTCGCGCATGCTTTTCATCTCGGTTTTAAGATCTAGAAGAAGTTTAGAAACATCTGATGTCTCGTTGGACTTGGGTTGAGACTGAGCAGCGAGCACTGGTACTTCATACTCGTAACTAGTAGTTGATGCCGTAGGAGTTGAATCTTGAGAGTCCTCCATCAGTAGGGTAGCCTCCTCCCTAATGTCACTAAAGGATATAGCGGGGGTGCTCCTGATTCTTTTCTTCAACTCTCTCCTCAACCACACTGGTTTGACGTTTTCTGCGAATTGGTTCCTCAACGTTAGGTCTCTGTCTGTTATGGTTTTATTATCTTTCTTACAGATTCTGTCCAGTTTGCACATGAGCCGATGACAGTATTCTTGTAGTGTCTCATCGCCTTGTTTACACTGGTAAAAGTCGGACAGTAGCTCTGATATGGTTCCCCTGTCCCCGAATACCTCTCGTAGAATATCCAGAATGTCCTTCGGCTTCTTTTTTTCAGAGTTGGACCTGTACCGCACCTCCACTCTAGCTGGACCTTCCAGATGACTGATTATAAAATTAACTTTCTCACTATCTGATGTTGGTCTCGTTTTCAGAGTCAATTCAATATCCTCTATGAACTCATCTATCGTCTGCAACCCATCCCTCTTCCCAGAGAATTTGTTTATTTTCCTTTCCCGTGGAGTAAAAACGACTTTGGGTTCATATGACTCCTTGGCTATGACATGGGCCAACTTCATCTTCATATCTGCCAACTCCTTCTCCAGGGATTGTACTTTTGCATCAGCCATTCTCAATGTTGATGTAACGGTTGATGTAACAGTCGTCGCTAACGTCTACCACCTTTCATAATCTCATTGTCTTCTTCAGCAATGGAGATCCTACCGGCGACGCCATTTGTGACCAAGTAGGACAAAACGACAATTTCCGTTGGTTTATGGTATTTATTTACCAATAAAAAAAAGGTGGTAGGAACAATCTGTAACATAAAACAAGAACACATTAAGTAATATGTACAATGTACAAATATCTTCTCTGAACACAATTTTATAATAAATTGTACAATAATATCTGTCTCACTAACCACAAGTTTCGTTAAGAATTATCTTGAGCAGTGATCTACCTGTATAACTTGTATAGTAAAGTGAACATCACATGTCTAACTGACCCGAACTTACTGATTACCCATGACATATTTGTATGTATTTAACATCACAACATATGTAGTTCAAAAGACATGTATGTGGAACAATTTCCTAAACCTGTTCTAATTTAACATAAAGTTTACTTAATCAAAACATTCATTTAAACAGAACTCTATTATGACTAGACCTGTGTTCCATACATTTGCACAAACTAATAGATTTATCTTCTACTTTAATACTGATGTGCATTACTGCCGTGCATGTGTACACAATATTCTATTGTTAATATGAATTGTGAACAATGATGCCCTTATATACACCTCGAAGATAAAGGTACCCAAAACTAGGTCAAACATGTAAAATGACATAAACATAGATAAACAAAAACATGCATATAACATACTTATCGAGATAAACAATTCTACAAACCTACATGGAGATTATGCAACACTGTGAGGATTTCTTAATGCAAAAGTATCAAAATAACTACTCGTAATACTGTGTGGCACATGTTCACAACCCTTGTGAACAGCATGTTTACATTCACAACCCGAAAGTACAAAACAGAGCCCTAGTACATATTGTGTCTGACAAAATCAATAACAATCGAACAAAAATCAATTACCTGTCAGTTGGCAATGAACTTTAAGGTGTTTGTTAACATTTCTTTTAATTAAGATGATTGCACTGGTGTGAATACAGCATGGGCTTTGTTGTTTCCCGCTTTCCGGTTTACAAAATAAAAACAAAACCGAAACTACTACGAAAAGATACAATAATTCCGGAATACATTTATACGTATAGTAGGTGACTTGCTCACATAAGGTTTATAAAAAAAACTCTACCTCATCTGTAGCATGATGGAATCTTCTACACCTACTAAAGATGTCAAATTTGGGTCCATATCTGCTGGTGATGAATATGGCTGGACTAAGAAGCCTTCAGCCTTAGTAGTCGTGGTGGTGGTGCATGATGGTTGCATTGAAGTTGACGAGTAACTGAAAATTGTAAACAAATTTTAATAGCTATCTAGATCTTAGTCTAGTTTTCGAGTAACTATTACATATAATCAGTGCGTTCAGTTCACTTGCATCATTTAATAAATGCTGTGACTAGAAAATAAAACGAATATTTATTTGTAGAATACGTAAACTTCATCGATTAACATAATACTTTTTTTAAGTCAACTAGAGCCGAACTCGTTGCAAAGCATGACGACCGATTTTCACTTACGACAATGTATCGATCTTACGACCACTTTCATGAATATCTCGTAACTTTTATCTTAGGATTATAGTAAGTTCAAGTCGTAGTCGTAAACTTACGATTTTTTGTGAATGGATGTGTGGCTCCTGGGCCATATACTTAGCCAGCTCACTTTTGAGATCAATCTAAATATCTCAGATTCCGGGCTTAACTTAGACCGTCTCACTTTTAGTGTGCCATAAAGGGAGATTGAGCTCATTCTGTGACTAGAAAATAAAACGAATATTAAGGTTCATTGATACTCTGATAAGAGAGATAACTCTACAGATAAGAAAGATAACTTTCTGCAGATATTTTGTCATGAAATTAAATAATTTGTCATGCCAGAGTTTACAAATCTCTATCATATGGACCATTTTATTGTTATCTCAAGTAAACCTATCCCGTCGTTCAGAGGTTGATTTGTAGTACTATTGCTAGTTTATTCAAAAATTATTTTGAATAATTTACCTAAAAAAATTACACTCAGTTCCTTTAAACGGTGTAAATTGACAAAAAAATCTATTTCTAAACGTGAAAGTCTTTTAATTGTACAGAATTAAAAGCCGCAGAATTGTTTCTAAACATTAAATTAATATTTTATTTCGTTAAAAACGAATTTCAAGGGCAATAATGGAACGATAACTCTTGCTTATAGATGCATTTTAGTTTACATGCACAAAAAACAATTTGATATTCTGATTTAAAAAGCATCGCTCAATTATGTTTTCTAAAGGAATTAGATAGGTTTGAGAGTAAATAATATTTTTATATATACCTCTTATTTCTAATTATGTTCCCCAAACGAAGTTTGGGAACATATTGTTTTTACTTTTTCTGAATTTTTTCTTTGTTCTCCGGTACTTTTTTGTCCGCGAGTGTTCTCGTAAACTACTCATCCGATCTAGGTGAAACCTTTTTAGGGTCACTAGGTATGCTATGTAGATGTGCCGAACGAAGGTCATTTCGCGCGCACGTGCGTTCAGGTGCGCGCACGTGTAACACGTGAAATGACAAATATAATAGATTTAGTTGTAACGTTTTAAATATTGGATGAAATGCTTTGAAACTCATAATATAAGTATATAAAAGTAGTATAGACATGATGACATGGTCAAAATAGCAAGATCTCACGCGCATGCAGGTACCCTTCGCTGCGATTGGCTGAAACTTAAAGTCTAAATATCTATTTTGTTTTCTGGAAAACTCCTTTGAAATTTTGAACATAGTCTTACATTATGAAGATCTACAGCATCATATATAAGAATAATTATGAAGGCATGCACATGCACGTGTGCTGCAATCTGATTGGCTAAAACTTTAAATGCCTACAACTTCTTGGTTCTCAATAATACAGGGTGAAATTTCAAATATGAATAGATATAAGGATTGCCTATATTATACTACTAAATAGTAAGTAAATACATGGACGTGCATGCACATGCGACCGCACACACTGTATTAAAAGACAGTATACTTCGAGTGTTTGATGTTTATGCAGAATTAAGAACTTCTACTGAAGCATGCAGATCTTTTTACCATTCACCTTGAAACTTAGGTCAAGGTCACTGGTAACCTGAATAAAACGTTGATATTAACTATTTACTAAAATCACCTTGACCTATGAACTTGAAATCGACCTTAACCTTTGTCCTTGACCCAAGGGTAAAAAAGAAACATGAAGTACATGCACATGTATCTAGAAACACCTTTCAGAGTTTATTTCGGTTGACAGGTTAGAAGTTAAAGAGGTGGTGGTTTTTAATGACCTTGACCTTTCATCCAAATGTCACAATCAAGCTTAAGTTCTTGGAATAAGATACAAGATTCAACTCCAACGTTAAATAGGTTAAGAATAAAAATACCCCCCCCCCCCACACACACACACAACAAACAAAACAAATTAATGGCAACGTAGAGAATCACTGTTAAACTCAATTAACACATCGGGCCCACATAAAATTTCAAAAAAACTGCAGAAAAGAGCTCGAGGAAAGTGTATTAAAATATTTCATTTGAGTTTCCAAAGTATATAGAAATTATTAATTTATACAGAAAAAAACCCACAAATTCTGTCGTGTTTAAAATCAAAGTGCAGACGACCAAAGTTGGCATATAAGCCTTTTATAGCCTATTTATTCCGATGTCGTTAATAGCATTCAATTCTACTGATTTGAAATAATATTTTTATACCAAGCATCCTTCGTTTAATTTACCTTTGAAATTTATTTGAATTTTTTTTAGAATTACGCAATCCCCAGAAATAGCGATTTTCGGTATATTAAAAATCAATATAAATGCACGCTCCTTCGTAAAATAATCAGATATTTGCATTCACTAAAAAATATTAATAAGAAGGTGTTTAACAATATTGGTCACATTAGCTGCCACGAATGTCTACTTAAACATCTCTTGTAAAACCCAGAGAGTAGCCCCTTATGCATTGGAAAAAATAAATAGTTCCGGTCAAAAAACCTTTATATATTTATTTACAAAGTATATAAAATTTACCAGGCACAGGTATCAGAGTTGTCAAAATGGTCTGAGAGGAAATATTTAAAAAAAATTCTGAACAGAAAGGAAAATCCCTTTTCCATGTATGGAATTACTATTGAATATAACCAACCCCGAGCCCGATCTTAAAAACACTGTAGTAGAAAATTAAAATTTCGCTGTTTTATTATTTTTTTTGCTTTTAACTTCTTTTTTTGAACCAAATGATATGAAAATACTCAAGAAGGTGAAAAGACTTCATATTGTTATCTGAATTAAAATCAAAATTGTAATCTGAACAATTAGTCTCCTTATTATGTTTCCCAAACGAAGTTTGGGAACATATTGTTTTTACTTTTTCTGAATTTTTTCTTTGTTCTCCGGTACTTTTTTGTGCGCGAGTGTTCTCGTAAACTACTCATCCGATCTAGGTGAAACCTTTTTAGGGTCACTAGGTATGTTATGTAGATGTGCCGAACGAAGGTCATTTTGCGCGCACGTGCGTTCAGGTGCGCGCACGTGTAACACGTGAAATGACAAATATAATAGATTTAGTTGTAACTTTTTAAATATTGGATGAAATGCTTTGAAACTCATAATATAAGGATATAAAAGTAGTATAGACATGATGACATGGTCAAAATAGCAAGATCTCACGCGCATGCAGGTGCCCTTCGCTGCGATTGGCTGAAACTTAAAGTCTAAATATCTATTTTGTTTTCTGGAAAACTCCTTTGAAATTTTGAACATAGTCTTACATTATGAAGATCTACAGCATCATATATAAGAATAATCATGAAGGCATGCACATGCACGTGTGCTGCAATCTGATTGGCTAAAACTTTAAATGCCTACAACTTCTTGGTTCTCAATAATACAGGGTGAAATTTCAAATATGAATAGATATAAGGATTGCCTATATTATACTACTATCAAAAGTAAATACATGGACGTGCATGCACATGCGACCGCACACACTGTATTAAAAGACAGTATACTTCGAGTGTTTGATGTTTATGCAGAATTAAGAACTTCTACTGAAGCATGCAGATCTTTTTACCATTCACCTTGAAACTTAGGTCAAGGTCACTGGTAACCTGAATAAAATGTTGATATTCGCTATTAACAAAATCACCTTGACCTATGAACTTGAAATCGACCTTAACCTTTGTCCTTGACCCAAGGGTAAAAAAGAAACATGAAGTACATGCACATGTATCTAGAAACACCTTTCAGAGTTTATTTCGGTTGACAGGTTAGAAGTTAAAGAGGTGGTGGTTTTTAATGACCTTGACCTTTCATCCAAATGTCACAATCAATCTTAAGTTCTTGGAATAAGATACAAGATTCAACTCCAACGTTAAATAGGTTAAGAATAAAAATACCCCCCCCCCCCACACACACACAAAACAAATTAATGGCAACGTAGAGAATCACTGTTAAACTCAATTAACACATCGGGCCCACATAAAATTTCAAAAAAACTGCAGAAAAGAGCTCGAGGAAAGTGTATTAAAATATTTCATTTGAGTTTCCAAAGTATATAGAAATTATTAATTTATACAGAAAAAAATCACAAATCCTGTGGTGTTTAAAATCAAAGTGCAGACGACCAAATTGGCATATAAGCCTTTTATAGCCTATTTATTCCGATGTCGTTAATAGCATTCAATTCTACTGATTTGAAATAATATTTTTATACCAAGCATCCTTCGTTGAATTTACCTTTGAAATTTATTTGAAATTTTTTAGAATTACGCAATCCCCAGAAATAGCGATTTTCGGTATATTAAAAATCAATATAAATGCACGCTCCTTCGTAAAATAATCATATATTTGCATTCACAAAAAATATTAATAAGAAGGTGTTAAACAATATTGGTCACATTAGCTGCTACGAATGTCTTTTTAAACATCTCTTGTAAAACCCAGAGAGTAGCCCCCTATGCATTGGAAAAAATAAATAGTTCCGGTCAAAAAACCTTTATATATTTATTTACAAAGTATATAAAATTTACCAGGCACAGGTATCAGAGTTGTCAAAA